CTCACAGAGAATCAGAAGAACTGCAAAAGGCTGAGGTATGGAGACATGTGCGCTGGCGGCTGAGTGCCTGGCTGGCTTTCTCTAGCAGGAAGGAGACAAAAACTCCTGACTGCACTGAACCCCAATTCAGACTGCACAGAACCCCAGTTACAGGTGAGACCTTGGGGACCCAGGCTTATACAGAAGGATCTAGACTCTCAGGCTAAAACTCAGGAGAGCCGCAAAAGACAGAGGTTTAGAGGCGCAAGTTGAAGAGAGGACTGACTGATGAATGCTGCTGGATTTCTCTAGTGGGTGAGAAATGGAAGCTCCCCCACTATGCTGAACTCCAAACCATGTGAGAATCTGGGAATCCAGATACATTGGGGGAGAAACTGGCAGCAGGAAAACTTGAGGGCAGCTTATTCTTAGAGTTGCTTGCAGTAATTACCAAGGGACACTGAGACCCAGGGGCATCACAGGGAAGGGCTGATGGGAAGCTAAGACTGTCTGCTCAACCCTGAGACTCAACCTCATCCAAGCTGAGCACAGAGGCTTTTGCAATTTTGCAAGTCTTGTCTCATAAGGCTGTCTCATAAGGAATTCAAAGAGGACCACATCAAGACACATCATAATTAAAATGCCAAGAGCAAAAGACAAAGAGAGAGTATTAAAAGCAGCAAGAGAAAAGCAGTTAGTTACCTACAAGGGAGTACCCATATGGTTGTCAGCTGATTTCTCAACAAAAACTATGCAGACTAGATGGGAGTGGCAAGAAATATTCAAAGTGATGAATAGTAAGAACCTACAACCAAGATTACTCTACCCAGGTAAGCAATCATTCAGAATTAAAGGTCAGATAAAGAGCTTCACAGATCAGAAAAAGCTAAAGGAGTACATCAACACCAAACCAGTATTATGTGAAATGCTGAAAGGTATTCTTTAAGAAGAGGAAGAAGAAAAAGGTAATGATAAAATTTATGAACAACAAATACATATCTATTAACAAGTGTATCTAAAAATCAAGTGAATAAAAATCTGAAGAACAGAACAAACTGGTGAATACAATAGAATCAGGGGCATAGAAAGGGAGTGGACTGAAAATTCGCAGGGGTAAAGGGGTGTTAGAGGTGCAGGAAGAGACTGGACAAAAATTGTATACCTATGGATGAGGACAGTGGGGGGAAGTAGGACAGAGGGTGGGAACCAGGTGGAGGGGAACTATGGGGAGAAAAAAGAGGAACAATTGTAATAATCTGAACAATAAAGATTTATTAAATAAATAAAAAAGACTATTGGAGTCTCCCCTGGTTAGTGTGGTTCAATGATTGAACCAGGTGGTCAAGGTTAAATTTCAGTTAGGGCAATGGTTATGGGCTTAATTCCTAGCGTGGGGTGTTTAGGAGGCAGCTGATCAAAGATTCTTTCCCATCATTTATGTTTCTATCTCTCTCCATCTCCCTTCCACTCCAAAATCAATAAAAAAACAAAACAAAACAAAACAAAACAAAACAAAACAAAAAAATCTATTGCAGTCTTAAACAGAAGCAAAGATTGTGGAATCCTGAGCAGTGATTGTGGTGAAGGGTGCTGTGAGGTGGTATAGTCTTGGAGAGTTGTAGGTAGAGGGCTTTGTAGTAGCAGCATCCACAGTCAGGAAAAGGTTTTCCCAACAAAATTAAATTCAGTAACTCCCAAGAGGATGCATAATGTGGGCCAATCCAATGGGTGTGATGAAGGCAAGCAACTTGGTGAAGTGTTTTGGGGCCCCTTAAAGTTGTGAGACTTGGCACATATCTTGGCTTTCCTGAGCTCAAAGGTGAAGTAGAAAGCAGTGTGACAGATAACCTCATACTCAAGCAGCACGCATTATAATAGGCAAGGAAGCTCTATGGTAAACACATAGTTAACTCCATAGAATGCCACTCAGAGGGTCATTAGCAGGGAATTTAGTCTTCTTTAGTGATACCTCTGTTAAAGAAGGTTTTGGTGGCAGCATTTAGGATGAGGTTGTTCTCTGATGTCCTGGGCCAGGGCATTGCCATCTCCTTTCCAGAAAGTTAGTAAGACACATGCAGGTCAAAGGCATTATATAAGGGTACAATCTGTGCCCACAATCCCACCCTGCTGGCTACCAATTGTGTTGTGAAGCCAGAGTTGATGTATATAATTAAATATGAATATAATTACCTGCTGAATGAGGAAGCACAGCGGGATGAGTGTGTGCATGGGAAGTAAAATCCTAGGAGATGTTTTGATTGAAGGTGAAGATTCAATAGAAATTTCCACACAATAGAAATAGTCACAAGATTTATTACTTACAGATCCCGGAAGTAAAGGTGCACTCTTAAGCTAGGGGAAGGACAGTCCCCAGTCCTAGGTTACAAACAAGCAGGAGATAGAGGACAAGGTAAGAAGCACCTATAACTTATAAAATGGTTAGGGTGGAGGTCACTAATTTTTCCCAGACTTAGCAATTCTCTTCCAAGAACTCTTATTTACTAACATTACTCATCATCTCAGGCATAAGTACTCATACACAGTTTATTTGCTTACTTGCCATTTTTTTTTCTCAGTGATTTATTAAGATAAAGTAATAATAAATATTATACTTACTGTGTTTGTACTTTATATATTAAGTCTTCTCTTTGTAATAGTCTTATCTATTAACTAGAGGCATGGTGCACAAAATTTGTGCACGGGGTGTGTGTCCCTTAGCCAAGCCTGCACCTTCTCCAATCTGGGGCCATTTGAGGGATGTCCGACTGCCCATTTAGGCCTGATTCTGGTAGGATCAGGGATTAACGGGCAGTCAAACATCCCTCTCATAATCAAGGACTGCTGACTCCCAACTGCTCACCTGCCTGCCTTTCTTATTGCCTCTAACTGCTCTGCCTGCCAGCCTGATCACCCCCTAACCACTTCCTGCCAGCCAGATTGATGCATAACTGCACCCATGCCAGCCCGTTTCCCTTAACTTCCCTCCTCTGCCAGCCTGGTCACCCCCAACTTTTCTCCTCTTCCAGCCTGGTCAGCTCTAACTGCCCTCCCCTGTTGGCCTGATGGCCCACAACTGTCCTCCCTTGCAGACCTGGCCCCTCCAAACTGTCCTCCCCTGCTGGCCATCTTGTGTTCACATGGGGCAGCCATCTTTGACCACATGGGGGAAGCCATTTTATGTGTTTGAGTAGTGGTCAATTTGCATATTACACTTTTATTAGATAGGATAGAGGCCTGATGCATGATGGGAGCCTACTGGTTTGCCTTGAAGGGTGTACCGAATCAGGTTGGGGGTTCCCTTGGGGTGTGGGGTGGCCTATGTGAAGGGCCTGTAGTGATTTGCAGGCCGGCCATACCCCCCACCCCCATTGACCCAAGTGTGGGCCTTGGTATCTGGGATTTATTTATCTTCTATAATTGAAACTTCGTAGTCTTGAGCAGAGGTCTGGGCCTTCCAGTAAGTTTGGCTTCCTCCATTGCCAGGGAAATCCAAGCCTCCTGCTCGCTCCATGGCTGCAGCCATTTTGGTTGAGTTAATTTGCATACTCACTCTTGATTGGCTGCTGGGCATGACTTGTGGGTGTAGTGGAGGTATGGTTGATTTGCATATTACTCTTTTATTAGATAAGATAACTGGTAAATACAATAATAGGACCTGGAGAGTATTATGCCAAGTAAAATAAGTCCGAGAAAGACAGTATTCACATGATAACACTTATCTCGTATAATAAATAGGTAATATGTAAATTGATCATCACTCCAACACATGAGATGGTCAGCCAGCCCCATGTGGTCAAAGATGGTTGCTCTCATGTGGACACAAGATGGTCACCAAAAGATTGCCTGCAGGGAAGGACAGTGGTGCATAACAGGCCAGCAGGGGAAGGCATTGGGAGGGACAAGGCCTTCAGGGCAGGACAGTTGGGGAACCAGGCTGGCAAGGGAGATAAGTTAGGGGTGATCAGGCCTTCAGGAGAGGGCTGTTGGGATTGACCAGGCCAGCAAGGGATGGCAGTTAGGGGCAATTGAACCTGCAGGGGAGCAGTTAGGCATTGATCAGGTTGGCAAGGGAGTGACTGGAGGTGATAAGACTGGCAGACAGAAGCAGTTAGGGGCAACCAGGCAGGCAGGTGAGGGGTTGAGAGCCAGCAGTCCCGGATTGTGAGAGGGATGTCCCAGTTTGAAGAGGGGGCAGTCTGGGCTGAGGGACATCCCCTTCTTCTCATGCACAAATTTCACGTACCAGGCCTCTAGTGAGTGAAATAAGTGAACAAAATAAATTGATGAACAAAATAGATTCAGGAACATGAAGCATGGAACAGATTGACAAATGTGAGAGGGAAGGGATGACGGGGTGGGGATGGAGGGAGAAAGAAAGTAGAAATTAACCAAAGAACTTATATACATTTATGCATAACCCATAGACACAGGTAATAGTGTGGTAGGCCTGGGAGGAAGGCACAGGAATAGAGGGAGCAGGTCAATTGAGGGGACAAAAGGGATATCTGCAATACTTTTAACAATGAAGATATATTTAAAAATATTAATTTTTGCTAATGCCATGATATAAAATGTATTAAATATGGAATAACCTATAGAATTAGCATCTCTACATTCTAAGTTAACTATAGAGTTTGCATCTTTACATTTCATGTCACATATGAAGTATCAGTTCCCAGGTCTGAGTGTCGAGTTCAGACATACAGTGGCTTCAAGAAATCAAATAATAAGAATTTAGAAATTATGAGATGCAAAGAAAGGGTTGAAGGATCAAGTTTAAGAAAAAGAATCATAATTGAAGCTAAAGCAACAAGTTGACAGATACAATACATGTTGCCCCTAAACCTGCAATTATAAAATATGAAGCTACCATGACAAGTAACATTTGGTAGAGAAAAAGATTTTAAGGGTATCACTGATTTGAATACAGTTTAAAAATAATTTGTCTTTCCTTTTTGTTTTAGAAGCAGAAAAATTTGTCTGCATCACATTTCATCAAATTTTCTATGTCAAGCCACATCATGTTAGAAAAATCCATTCTGCTGTTGTTGCTTCAGTTAAGTGTCCTGGGAATCACTCTTGGTGGGAATGTTCTGATTTGGCCAGTGGACGGTAGTCACTGGCTAAATATTAAGATAATTATAGATGAGCTGATCAACAAACAGCATAATGTGACTGTCCTAGTTTCTTCTGGTGCATTTTACATCAAGCCCATCTCTAACTCATACTTGACATATGAAAGATATAAGGTGCCCTTTGAGGGCGAAAAAATGCTAGAAGTGATCGGGAATTTTATTTTGGCATGGATGAAAAATAAACCAACTCCTTCAACCATTTGGAGATTCTATCAGGAAATTGGCCCACCCATCAAGGACTTCAATGCGCTGAATAGAGAAATGTGTGATGGTGTTCTCAAAAACCAAAAGCTGATGAAAAAGCTGAAGAAAAGCAAATTTGAGGTCCTGGTATCAGATCCAGTATTTCCTTGTGGTGATATAATAGCTTTAAAACTTGGCATTCCATTTATATACTCCTTGAAGTATTATCCAGCATCGACAGTGGAAAAACACTGTGGGAAGATACCATATCCTCCTTCCTATGTTCCTGCTGTTTTATCAGAACTCACCGACCAGATGTCTTTTACTGACAGAATAAGAAATTTCATTTCCTACCATCTACAGGACTACATGTTTGATACTCTTTGGAAATCGTGGGACGCCTATTATAGTGAAGCTTTGGGTAAGTAACTTTGTATTATTTAAATTAAAACAAACAGAGCTCTTTTTTATTTCCCATGATAATTTTTAGTAATTTATATTGATAACTATCTATTACTACCATTTGATAACAGGAAACATAAAATGCAACATGCTTTGGAACTATAGTTTGTTGTTTTCTGATTTTATGGACGTGAAGATACAAACTACATATTTTTATGCATAACATACAGAGACAAATACAATTTTTAAATTAGAACTTGATTCCATTTACATATTACATTGAAAATAGAAATCACTTAGAAACTTCAGTGGTATGTGTGTATGTGGGGAGAGCTGAAAGAGATTAAGTTTTCTGCAAGCCCATTATTAAATAGACTTTTGTGTCTCTCTGTGTGTGTGTGTTTAAAAACACATATGTATATGAATAATCTTTGATTATTGCTCATAGACTTCTTTCTGTTTAGCAGGCATTCTCTTGGATAAAGAGGTACAACAAAGACTAAGATGAAGTTTCTGGCTTCAAGGTTTTCACAGTCAGAGAAATTAGAGATGAAAGGGAATACTTACCATATTAATGGCACGGAAAATGAAAATATATATAAAGAACAGTAACGGTATATAGGAGCTAAGCCTATATGACAGGACAGAGTGGTACTCTGAAAAACTTCAGAGTTAAGATGATACACAAATAAATTTTTAAACAGTAAATTTGAATTTTCCTGAAAATGAAGTGTGTGTGGGGAAAAACAGTGTGCCTAATATTGTGGAATCTAGAAATAGCACATGGGTGGTGGGTATTATTAACAAATATGTATTTAGGAAGGTCAAAGTATAAGGTGCAGAAGTATGGGGAAAAACTTTGAAGATGACAAGACTGAGTGAATTACATAAATATTTTCCTTTTTAAAAATTCTTTATTTTTGAAATGATTACATTTTATTTTGAAAGTATTACATCACCCTAGTTCCCCAATGACCTCTTCCAACCTGTCCTCACCCCCCCCCAGCCCAGGTCTTAACCCCCTTATTGTCTGTGTCCATTGGTTATTCAAGTTGTTTGATCTCTTCTACCTGTCCACCTTCCCCTACCTTTCTTCTGAGATTTGACAATCTGTTTGATACTGCTTTGTCTCTGGATCTAGTATGTCATGCTAAGCATCTTGACTTGTATTAACAAGTAACTTGGAACAATCTGAAGGGATATTTTATCACTAGATTGCATCCTATATCATAAAAGCCTATTATGCTAAGTGTCCAGTCATCCATTCAACCAATCAAAGTGTAACATGCTAATGATATGCTAAGGCCGCTCAACAGCTCATTATGAGGTGCATTGATCACCAGGGGGCAGATGCTCCAACTGGTAGGTTAGCTTGCTGCTGGGGTCTGGCCCATTGGGACTAAGCAAGATGGGCTGGACATGCTCTGGACCCTCCCATGACCCCTCCCCAGCTGGCCAACCTCCTGCATCCCTCCCTGACCCTGATCATACACTGGTGTGGTCACTTGGCGTGGCTTGTGCCCTCTTGCAATCCTTGGACCCCTTGGGGGATGTTGGAGAGCCAGTTTCGGCATGATCCCATAGGCCAACCAGCGGGAACACACTATTGTACGAATTAGTGCACCAGTCCTCTAGTCTTATATAAAACACATGGACAGATGTGGACCTAGAGTGGATAAATGTTAGACTGTAGGCTACTGCATCACTTCAGGAAACATGTGGGGAATGCATGTACTACTGAAGTAGCTTATGAACTGGAAAAATAATGGAGATGGGAATTCATAGTAACACACTCAGAAGAGCAGGCTCTTGAAAAACAATTTCTGCTTATATGTGTGACCATGAAAAGTAACTAAGGTTCTTTGTACCTACACTTATTTATCACATCTAAAACAGGGCTACTATTGAAAGAACTATATTAATTAACCAAAAAGATTTTTAGAAGATAAAAACTGTTCCATCAGTATTTGTTGTTTATTAGGTAAAATTAAAACAAACTGATACCTAATTGGTAAGAGTGTTATAAGGGATGATAAAGAGATTAATTATTTATTTTTAAACTGAGATATAATTGACATATAGTAGTGTCAGGTATACAACATAATAATTTGATATCTATAATAATAAAAGCTTACTATGCTAATTAGAGCCAGCGTCCTTCTGGATGACCTTCCAGACAAAGCTGGGGCTAGTAGGGAAGCCTGGGTCTCAGGTGCCAGAGGGAAGCTAGTGCCAGCAGGTAGTGGAAGGAAGGCCTACTCTTTCATGAATTTCATGCATCAGGCCTTTAGTTCATATATATTGAGAGAAAAAAGTGATCACCAAAATAAATCTAGTTGACATTCATTATCACACATAGTTATAAGTTTTTCCCTTAAGATGAGAACTTTTAAGATTTACTCTCTTATCAACTTTCAAATATACAATACAATATTGTTAACTAGTAACCATGCTATACATTATATACTCAATTGCTTATTTATTTTATAACTGGAAGTTAGTATATTTTGACTCCATTCACCCATTTTGTCCACCCCCTACTCCCACCTCTGGCAAATACCAATCTGTTCTCTGTATCTATAAATTTGGGCATTTTTTGTCTTTATGTTTTTTTGTGTGTGTGGTTTTTTTAAGCTTTCACAAATAAGTGAAATTATATGGTATTTGTCTTTCTCTGTCTGATTTATTTCACTTAGCATAATGCCCTCAAGTTCCATCCAAGTTGTTGCAATGATAGGATTTTCTTTTTATATGTCCAAATATCTCATTGTATATATAAATCACATTTTCATTATCTATTCACCCATCATTGGACAGTTGGGTTGTTACCATGTCTTGGCTATCTATACTAATAATAGAGGAATATAGAAAGAGGAAAGAAAGAAAGAAAGAAAGAAAGAAAGAAAGAAAGAAAGAAAGAAAGAAAGAAAGAAAGAAAGTTAGTTCATATCTTATGAAAAAAAACTTCTTGAAAACTAAAGACAGTTGTTATTTTTTTGTGCTAAAGGAACTGGAGTCTATGTTGATAAAAACACCTTGGTGGCTGCAAGGGCTGAGGGCAGTGGCATTGGCAGCAGCAGCAAGGTGATTGGGACAGTGTCTTCCCCTGATCAGCCTGGTGGCTTCCCTAAGCCATCAGTAGGACATCCCCTGAAGGCTCTTGGACTGCGAGAGGGGGCAGGCTAGGCTGAGGGTCTCCCCTTGTCTGTGCATGAATTTTCATGCACCGGGCCTCTAGTTGTAAATAATAGGCTATGATCATAGCAGTCCAGACATTTTTTTGAAACTGATTTTCTTTTCTTTGGAAGTATTCCTTAGAAGTGGAATTGATGATTGTTATGGCATTCTATTTTTAACTTTTTCAGTGATCTCTTTAAAGTCGTATAATGCATAATAATGTTTTCATCAAAAATGAACCACAGATATGAGTGTGGTCTCATAAGATTATAATGGAGCTGAACATTTTCTATCATCTAGTGAGGACAGTAGTATAATAGATACTGTAATGTTGTAGCTCAATGCAATACTCCTGTGTTTGTGGTCATGCTGGTGTAAACAAGCCTACTGTGCTGATAGTCATATAAAAGCATAGCACATAAAATCATGTACAATTCATGATACTTGATAGTAATGAACTCTGTTACTGGTTTATATATTAACACAACTATCCTTTTACTTGTTATTTTAGAGTGTACTCTTTCTACTTGTTTTTTAAAAAGCTTGTGCCCTGGCCAGGTAGTTCAGGTGGTTAGGGCATAGACTTGATAAGCCAAGCTTGTGAGTTCAGATCCACATCAGAGACATACTAGAAGCAATCAATGAATGCAGAAATAAGTGGAGCAACAAATGGATATTTCTCTCTCCCTCTCTCTCAAAACAATGAATTTTTAAAAAAGGCTTGTTGTAAAACAGAATGCTATGCTGCCTCATACATCTTATGTTTACTGCATCTCTTGATTGCATCATTTTCTCTTATTCTTGATTTAATCTCATGTTTTTGTTTTTAAAAAAAATAAATTTAGTGTAGAATTTAAAAATTCAAAGATGTGTACAGAAATATCATTCACTGAGTCACCCAGAACAGCTTTCAGAGCTGCAAGCTCCATTAATTGTGAGTGCCCTATACCAGTGTATCATCTTTTTTAATCTTTCCTTCTGTGTTTTTGCTGTACCTTTTCTAGATATATATTTAGGTACACAAATACTTATCATTGTTTTATAATTATCTACAGTATTCAGTCAGTAACATGTTTTATATGCTTGTAGCTTAGGAGCAATAGGCTGTATTGTATAACCTAGGTGTGTAGTAGGCTACACCATCTATGTTTAAGTGTGTCTATGGTGTTTGCATAACAACAAAATTGCCTACAGTGCTTTTTTCAGAATGTATACCCATCTTTAATTGGTACACAATTGTACTGTCTTCCAAAGGTGCTTTATCAATATACATCACCACCAACAGTGCACAAGGGTTCCCTGTTCTTCATATTCTCATCAACACTTATCTATTTTATAACAAGTGGGAGGTGATATCTCTTGTGGTTTTAATTTGCATTTTCTTGATGATTACTGATGTTGAGCACCTTTTCATGTACCAGTTAGCCATTTGTATATCTTCTTCAGAAAAATATCAAATCTTCTGCCCATTTTTAATCACATATTTTTATTAATAAGTGTTTATATATTTTGCATATTAACACCTTATTGCACCAACGATTGGCAAATATTCTCTCCCATTCAGTAGGTTGCCTTTTCATTTCTTGTTGGTTTCCTTTGATGTGCTGATGCTTTTTTAGTTTTATGTCATCCCACTGTTTATATTTGCTTTTATTGCCTTTGCTCTTGGTTTCAAATCCCATAAAAGTCATCATTAAGATCAATGTCAAGAAGCTTACTGCTTATGTTTTCTTCAAGGGATTTTATGGTTTCAGGTCTTATAATTAGATCGTTAATTCATTTTGAATTTATTTTTGTGTCTGGTGTAAAACAGTGTTCAGTTTTATTCTTTTGCATATGGTT